CGCGGGGGCGGCGCGGGCGCTGCGCACCTCGGCCGCGCTCCCGCTGGATGCTTCGAGGGCGGGGGGGTTCTTTTTTATTATTATTTATTATTATTTTGGCCGAGGATTTTCATTTGGGGAGGCCTGGGGTGGGCTCTTGCTGGTGGCGTTTTATTTCCCTCCCCCGCGCTCCCACAAAGTCCCGCAGCCCCGAACGGGAATTTACAGCCTGTCAGAAAGTGCGTGCCCGCAGATTTTGAAATTATATTAAAAAATGAGAGAGAGAAAGGACAAGGAAAGTTAATTCAAAATGGCTGCTGGACCCGCTTCGGGTTTATTCTGGGGCTGTCCCGCGGTTATTGCGATAGTCGCGGCCCGGTCCGCGGAGCCTGGGCCGGGGACCGCGGGGCCCCGCGGCTGCCGCGTGGGTTGCGGCCCCGCTTTTCTTTCTTTCTTCCTTTTTTTTTTTTCTTTGTATTTTTCTTTTCTGTGGGTGTGTGTGTGACTATTGTATTTTCTTTCAGACACCCCCTGTTCCCTCTTTTAGCACTGATTTTTGAGAAATGTGAATTAGCTACGTGCACGCCCAGGGAGCCCGGGGTAGCGGGAGGCGATGTTTGCTCCTCGGAGTCTTTCAATGAAGACATAGCAGTGTTCGCCAAGCAGGTCAGCACCGCCGGGTTCAAGCGGGGAGAGAAACAAAATAGCGAAAAAAAAAAATCCCAACGCGGTAACGAGGGGAAAAAAAAAAGTCTCCGTTGAGATAAAAAGATGCCCGTTTTCTCCTTCACCCCCCTCTTATTGCAAGAGAGGCCCTCAAAATAATATCTAAAAAATAAAGTGAAATCACGGCATTTCTCACCGCCCTCCTATTCCCCCCCGTCCCCCTCCCCCCAAAAAAAGAAAAAGAAAAAGAAACCAGGAGGGAAGGAGCCCGGCGCTCTGCCTGCCCCTCGGGCGGCTCCGCGGCCGCCGCGGCAGCTCCGCGCCCGCGCGGGTCCCCGCTCCGCGCGCTGGGGTGTTTCGGATGCACTAAATCCAGCGGCGAGAGCTTTGCACGAAAGGTTACATAATGGCCCCGACAGTGTAATGAAGCAAGAAATAATAACGTCTGCTTTTTTTTTTGCTTCCATATTTCAAATCTCTTTTATTTTTTTCTCTTCTCCTCCTTTCCTCCTCTTTCTCGCATTTAGATCCGAGCAGAGAAACCCCTATTTTCCTCTAATCCTGAACTGGATAACTTGGTAAGAGTTAACGACACTTCTTCCTCTCCCCACCCCCACCCTGCCACCCTCCCTCCCTTCCCATTATTTTTTTTTCTTAATTTTTTAAAATAAAAACATCCATGTCTTTATGGAGAGGCGGCTGCGGGCTTTGACAAGCGTTGTGCGAGGCTGAATGGAA